AACGTACGGTATACCACCCCGCCCCTTTACCCCCAAGAAAACGTATGGAATACCCCCCCCCCCCCCCCAGGAAACTGGCCTATGATTCAGTACTATTTTTAACTCAATCTTGAGGTCGGCAAATTGCTACGCCTCCTTAGTCACGATTTTTTAAATGGAAATCCTGATTAGGATGTCAGTCATGTAACAGCTATATCACAGATATCGCTTTGATATGCTTTTCGATTTCCTCGATCCATTAAAACCATGAACCTGTGTCGTAATCATTCTGGTTATCATGCAAAGCGGTAAAAATTTGAGGATAATTTTCACGGTCGATTTACGGCGAAAAGGGGGTTACACGGACAGAGACCGACTGCTGGTGCCAATGACTCGAGATTGCGAGAGCATCGAACACAGTCATGGTATAAGTTGAAAAGTTTGTCACCTATACTGTATTATAGTTCACACGGCTTCCGAAACTACAAAAAAACTGTTTCGGCCGTGCACTTCAAATTTTGGAGATGTGGTGGCAAGCGAGATATGAGAGAAGGCACACACAAAAACGTACAAGCCCCCTAAAAAATGGCTTCGTTTGTACACAAAGGTGTTAAAAGGGTCACCCATTTTATCGTTTTTGTTTCATCATAAATGATCTCAATTACGTGGGGATGATTTTGCTGCATTCTCGAAAGTGATATGTCAATCTTGTAAGAGTAAAATGGAAGAGGAAACGCGCAAGTGGAATGCTTTATTCCTTTGAGAATTCCATAAAGCTACATCAATTCGATAGCACAAGATTGTGAGGAACGATTTGACGAGCTCTGGTCGACGTTTATCACCCTTATCCTCAACACGAGAGTAATGGTAGTACCAATTGGTCCGACGATCATTTTGGGTTTGCTTTTATTTCTTGGTGGTGAAAAATGAAATGAGCATGTCGCAAACTGGTAAATCTCACAGGTTGAAACAAGACATTAGCATCCCCTCAGCCGTGTTAAGTGGGTCGCTGTTACAGCAAATAGCAATCAGGCACCAGCGCGAAAAAGTCGCCATCACCACCCTTTCCAAAATGGCGGGAGTTGTCTGGTTAACTGTGTCCCTCACAAAATCCATTGGAGGGTGTGAAACCTTTGCACGCGCTCAAGATAAAGATTCATTGAGCGGAACAGAATACTCGACTTCTTGCGATTATGGATTTTGTCACATTTTCTTAGAGCTAGGCGGGAAAATAAATATGAGGTTTCATGTACTTTGGGGTGACGATTGACTTGTATGATGGGGTTTGGAAACGAAGGGTGATATCCGCTATAATGACATCCTCTGACCCGGCTAGACCCGGCTGGGTGGGAGGTGGCTGCCCGGCGAGCAAGTGTTGAGAGCAATCTTGGAAACGATTCGGAGGTGCTTAGCCGTATCGTGAAGCTTCATGTTTTATGAGATGAGGAGAGATGTTGCAGCTGAGGGAGGGTGAAAAGAAATAGTAACAGCCTGACACCATAACTTTCGACCACTCCAATTTTAGGGAATGAGGACTTTGAACTAATTGTATGAACCCTATTATTATGAGCTCTAGATTCTTGCCACATTCTGAAAACCTCTGTGTAAAAGCATATAGCAAACACCATTTTCATAATTTTCCTCGATAGATGCTGCTGCGGCATGTATGCCATCGGGGCAATAAAACTTGCTCTGTTTTCAACTCGTGCAAATGATCGTATTTTTATATTCCTGAAGAAAAAAAACATGGCATGATCATTGATGACTTTAAGAAATCATATTACGCAAATGTTTAAAAAAATATATATATTACTCAGGAAGAATATTGTTCACATTCAACATTACTTGGCAAATCTATTTTAAGACTGAAATCAGCTTCAGTACAGGCATCGACAGAAATTTATCATTCAAGATCGAAATTTAAACAAAGAAGCCTAAAAGGTTGAAGAATCTCGTGGGAATACAACACTTATTCATATCCGACGAACTGAATACATTAGGGATAACATTACAAATGTGTTCGCTTTCTTTCTCCCTGTCCTTTTCGAGGTGAAGCAACCTTCTTCTTTACCCCCCCCCCCCACCCCCACCCGCAATTATCTTATAATGTCATTTATACTACAATCACATCTAATTGCCCAATATCCGCCCTTATTTTCTCCGCATTTCTGATTCGAAAACTCTTAACACTAAACCACGCTCCTCAATGGATCTTGAAATAAAATAAAAAGAATTTAATGTCTACCATATCTACAGGTCTTTGGAGGGTTCTTGTTTTACAACATGCTGGCACTTTCCCGACACTAAATGTAATCTCAAATTACCTAACACATTAAAAGATAATGATTTATGATGTAAATCATTCGCACTGAATGTGATATAAGCCCGAATTTTTCATGGCAGGTTTGCAATACTTTTGCTTGGAAAATGGAGCTTAAGGGATTCGGAAAGGCCTAAAATAATATTGTTGTGGAGAGGAGGGAAAACCGCCCGTATTATTGTGTTACTTTTATGTTTCCTCAATCCGCATGAGTCCTACATGATTTACGACAATCTTAACATAGATCTACATGAACATGAACTTCAGTTACTCCGATCAGTCGGCCTCTCTCTCTCTCTCTCTCTCTCTCTCTCTCTCCCTCTCTCCTCAGTTGCAATGCACACTTCCCTTCTGGATCGTTTCCCCTGTCTTCCTCTCCGTATTCTCCTTCTCTACCTCCTCTGTTTCGCTCTCTCCATCTCTCACTTTGTCTGCTCAGTTTAACATTATTTTCCCCCTTTTCCTTCTCTCCATTTTCTACTTACTCATTTCCCTCTCTTCATCTCCCTCTTTCTCAGTCTTACGCACTTTACACTTTTTTCGATTAAAATCTTCTCCTTGCCCGTTTCCCTTTCTCTTTATTTTCCCTTTTTTAATTTTTATTTTTTACTATAAATTATTCCCCCTCTCGTTCTCTGTATATTACCATCGTTTTCTCTCCTTTCCAAGTCTCCTACACTTAAACTTCCCTTTCCTTCTCTCTCAATTTCTCATTAGTCATTCCTTTTCTCTTCTTCTCTCTCTTACCTAAACAACTCACACAGCTTACCCCTGTCTTCCCCCCCCCCTCTCTCTCTCTGTATATATTCATATCTCTCTCTATCTCTTCCTTCCCCTCTATCCCCCCTCTCCCCTATTACCTCATTTAAGTGACGCTCACGAGACAAGCAAACAACCTAGACCCCGGGAGGACGGGGAAAGGGTGGCTGACTGACACGCCTCCGCGCTCTCACTCGATCGGGCGGTCTAACCGCTGCTGATCAGCGGGAATATTAATTGGTATTTAAAATTTAACAGCATTCCTTTCCCTGCCCAGCCATATCCCAGCGATTCTCATTCCCACAACCATTTGCGACTTGTTCAGTCAATCTGCGGAAAGATTGAGAGAAGATAGAACTCTCTTAGGAATCAGTAAATAAGTCCTCTTTTAGGTCGAACACTTGTTTTCCCTTTTGAGGTACTATCCATGCATACTATCACATGGGACTAATGATCATAGATTAGTAATTTATCAAGACGTAATTTTACTCAATAAAAAACATATGAACAAAGAAAAAATTTGTAGTAGTAGTAGTAGTAGTAGCTCTATACAGAGCGAATTTATTTTTCATTTCTTTTCACATAATATAAACAGTGACAAACGATAATAAACGTAGCATCTACATTATTTTAAATCTCAAACTTTGGCTCGGTTCAGTGTTATGTTCTTGCGATTTAATTGTCAACTAAGTTTTTTAAGTTTTGTAAAACAACTTATGACGAACAAGATGTACAAATGGGAGGAGAGGGGCAAACATCTATATTAAAAATCCGTTTCAGAAGCTCATGTCATGAAGAAGCGAAGATTTATTTTCCCGTGGTTTCGCGTATCACAGCCACTAGGTTTAGGGCGCCTAAACATGAGCTGTCGGACCGCTGGATGATGGCTTAATCCGCCATCATCGGTCGCCTGCGATTTCACACCCTACAGTCCCCCGTGCGTGACCAACCATCTCCTGGTGTCAATACACTCCAAATCAAGCACGCTTTCTCATCCCTTCCCCTTCCCTCTTTTTCTCACTCCAAATCGGCTCGCCAAGCTTGAGCAAATTGTCTCTGGGCTTCTTCTAATCACTATATCCCCCAAATTAAGTCTCTACATAACCAGCAGAAACACTTACTTACGCATCGTTTTAACACCCAAGTCAAATAGCGGTTCGTCGTACTTTGCGGATGTGCATTGCCCGGGTAATAAAATGTTTGAGATCATCGTCTGCGAAATAGCTGCTATCTTCAGTTTGGGAATAAAGTCAATGCGCGCGTTCAATAGGCTCACGTGCTGAGACTAGACAACGATTAGAATACAGCAATTTGCGCGTTCCGATCCCGCGAGTGCGATAAAAACGAGACATCTTCATCGCCATAAAAAGCGCGGGCTACGTATATTTTTGATGTTTGTCGCCTGCTCACTTAAAATGCAAACCATTAAAACAAATCGGCGTGGCGTACATGGCCGTAGAGCGTTGATATGATTATAGATTGGATGTTTATTTCTTGCCTTTGTGTCTATTACCTTGGGCAAAAATGGATGATGAACAGATTGCATGCACGCACCGTCTTTGGTCAGTTGTATGAAGAAAGGCATTTCTGAGAATGTCAAAATCATGATGAGGGGTTCTATCTTTATCTCTGCTGCTCATCGCATTCCGCGGGGTGTACTCAAATTGATAACCGACAGAAAATAAAAACATAGAGGCCTAACGTATTATTAGCTTACATCGCTTGAGATTTGTTCAATGTACAGAAAATGAATAATATCCTCTATATACATTCTGCTCTTCATTTTCAATGCATCTTGCTGGGAATTACAAAAAACAATGTTCTACTTGATTATATTTAGGGGAAGAATCATGAGTAAATTCTTTCTCTCAAAATTGATTTCTATTTTGTACGACAAAACGCTATAATATATTTTCCTTCTTTCTTTTCTTCTTTTCTGCAGGTGAAAAACCGCACAAGTGTCTGGTCTGTGGCAAAGCATTCAGTCAATCTTCGAACCTCATCACCCACAGTCGTAAGCACACAGGTTACAAACCCTTCGGCTGCAAGATCTGCGGAAGGGCTTTCCAGAGGAAAGTTGATCTTCGCCGCCATTTTGAAACGCAGCATCCCGAGAGCGAGAAGATGTTAATGGCGCACTCATTGGCTGTCCGAAGGCCCATGCCACCTAGCATGGTCTCGCCCGCAGCTCCCATCGCCGTACCAGCCCACCACGGAACGTCGGCGTTGCACTCCAGCGTACCAATGATGGGGATGTGAGACTGATCAGCGCAAACTAAATGTTTTAGTTTGTATCACTCTCGTTGATACTTGGCAAGTGTTGTACGGGTGAACTTACTTTGAAGTTGTTGAACTTGGAAGAAGTTCCTTCGAAACTATTCTTCAGAAAGAAAATCGTCTTTTGAAACGCTGCAGTGACTGGACGAGACCGACGAGGAACTTTGCTGTGATTCAACTAGTTTGTATTATTTGTCTGAATTAAATGCTGCACGCGTATAAAAATCAATCAAGCTCCGGAACTGCAATAGGCCTATCTCGCATAGCAACAGTTTCATATCTTCATCTGATAGTAAAAAGAGTTTAACCTTTGACCTGAGAAACGAAAGGGCCCTCCTTGATTGTATAATGAAAATATTGTGCAATTAATTCTGTATGAACGAGTCCTTTGACATTCTTTATAACATAATCTGTTGGCAGATTTTGGTTGGCTTAGCAGGTTCATAAGATACAATGTTATTTCGCTCCTTCACGTCAGTCGTGAAATGCATAGATCATCAATACCAGCATTATAGCATTATTACAAAATTGCATCACCATTGTGTGATTTGAATTTTCAATCCTCAATATTTTTGCATCATCATCATCATGATCATATACATTAACGTATCCTCATCATCACATCATCATCATCACAAACTTTTGTCATCATGATCACCTTCAAATTTACTACTTGCATTATTATGCAAGGCACAATAAAAAAAAATTGAGAGCTATTTGGCAGTTTACATGATTTTTGTTTTGCTTTTTAATTTCTTGACTGAATTCCTATTTGCAATATTCTACATTCCACTTAATCCTTAAAGATATTTATATTTGTTACAGAGCAGTCAATCATAGATCTTAGTTTATGTTACTGTATTTAATAAAGATAGATGTGATTCATAATTGTATACAAAAACCCAAATATTGGATGATAGACAATAATTGGAAAAAGTGAAAGGCAACGACATTGCAACAAGAGTAGAATTGATTGTTTACAAAACACAGGTGTTTCGTCACTTTTCACAGAATGCAAATGTCACTTATTATCATGAAAGATCTAATTAAAAAATCTTTAATAATAATAATTGACATTTGGATTCTACTCTAAAAGGACAAGTAGGATAAGAGTATTGAAAAGAAGTGATGAAAACACTCTTTTATAAAATACAAATACATTCCATTTAGGCATAATGAGGCAAATGTCTGAAAAATCTAGGCAATGTGCAATGTCATAACAGCATATATAATAATTATTGATAATCATGATCATTTCAACGTTACAAATTGATAATATAGACAATCATTTATTATGCTTTAAGTGAAATACCATTTCATTTTGCTTTTGGACAGAATGTACAACAGAAATATGATTCAACAGAATATGTGATAATATGAATGGATATTTGCGATGAGCCGACAGTGCTAAAAATAATTGAATGAAATAATGTTCTTTTCGACAGAATACATACTTGAAAATTAATTCTCTATCAATGTAATTTATGCAACATGAATATATATAATTAGTATGTGAAAATATATACTTTGGTACTGACATACTTATTTTAATATGCTTGATGTGTTAATCATATGCAAAGTTCAGTTCAAATTTGGAAAGAAATTAAAAAAAAAAACTATTTTGAATGATGTAATCCTTGCAGTGCTTTTTTAATGAATGTAATCATTATTTGTAATAGCCACTTGAATCATGATATTTTCTATCATTATTTTAATACAAATGTGTTTAACAGGTTTGAAGTCAATTTGAACAATATTCATCTTTTAAATGTATCATTTCAATAGGGATTGAAATTGTTAAAAAAAATATCCATGTAGTTGAATGATAGGGTGATCTACAATATCAAATATTTATTTATTTCCCTTCAAACAATGCTAAGGGGAGCGTGTGGACTCTCTAAAGTTTCTTTTGTTTAAGATGTTATTATTTTTGTTGATACAAATAACTGTAGAGAAAAGATTGTTTAAGAATGTAATTTATTGCAAATATTTGTACATAATATGTTTGATTTTGTACCCCACTCTTGCATATAAGAATTGTGTGATTTGAATAAAAACCGAAGAAAACAATTGAAAATGGATACATATTCTATTCTTTTATTTGTGTAATATTAGTAATTTTTAAAGAAAAATATACAATTCGTCGCTGTTTTCACGAAGTGATGGTAGTGAAACAAAATTGCATTCACTTTGCGTTACGATTTTCCTCACTACCGTCACTTCGTGAAAATAGGGACGAGTTGGTCAAGAATAAAATCTATGTTTGCTTGAATAAAATAATGTTGGATTTGTATGGGGAAAATAATTATAATTTAATTCTCTATGTGCTAAAACAGGAAAATATCTGATGAAGATGGAGACAAAGAGAGACAAAGAGAGTTACATTAAGAGATGGAGAAAGACAAGCAAGAGGACAGAGAGCCAGGGAGATAGAGAGGGAGTGGGAAGGGGGAGGAGATAGAGAAGGAGGGGGCAGAGAAAAGTGAAATAATGATTAGAATCTCTTGACATACCAAAAAGAGAATAGGGAAATCCCCATATTAAAAGTACTACAGGCATGTTCAGATATGGCAAGGTAAAATGCTGCAAAAATGCCACCACATTAAAAAAACATGTTAATGAATGGCAGCTGCGCGAAACAAAGGACTTGCACATATAATAATTTTTTTTAAAGACCACAGTTTTTCTGTGTCGTATCTGAACAAGGCTTAAGAGTGCCTGGAGAAAGAGCCAATAGAATGTTAACTTGTATCCTTAAATACTGACTTAACATCATGTCCAACAAGAGACAATATATTCATTGTTTCAAATTTGTTTCTGACGTAAAACTGGTAGAGCAATTCAGATACCACAGTCACAGAAAGAATGAAGACAAGGGGAACAGAAAATATGAGAGAAAAAATATGAGAGCTTAAGAATGAGAAAAATATTCCTTGTTTCAAATTTACTCTTTTCACACCAGAGACAGAATGGGCCAGAAGAAAGTATAATCATAGACTAAGACAGTGAGCATATTGTGTGTGTGTGGGTGTGTATTATGGGTGTGTGTGTGTGTGTGTGTGTGTGTGTATAGCCAGAAGTGAGAGGAAAACGGGTTGATGTATGCCTGTTAACAACATAATGCAGGAAACCATGAGCTAAAGATTCATAGAATTACAACCCTAGATTTGAAGCATTTTCAGAATACTGGATTTTTGATAACATTAATAAAATAACAACATAATTAAACACCCACCTAAATTTCTTGTCTCATGTGGATGAGCACCTGTTCATCGTTCTGTGAATGGTGTTAACCGTTCCACAGTATGTGTATGTTTCGGGGGAAAAACGTAGAGAGATGATATCATTTCCTCTAACCAACATATATAATTCTTTGCTAAAATCATAATCATTTTCTAGAAAATGAGTGACTCGTGCAGTGGTCCCAATAAACATCACTTCTGAAACCAAATCTTGTGCATATAACATATATGACACCTGAACTTAAACATTGTTGAAATTAAACAAGGCATGAACAGTAGCTGTTAAAACAGACGACTCTTGATCATAAATGTCCAGTTAAACAAGCCATCAATACTAGTAGTTGAATTTCTTTGAAAGTGTCCCTCTATTCTATTCCTACATTTTTCTGTTTGGTGTTAATATTGTTTTAATGGACGTTAATACAGAGGAAGGGCATGCACTTTGAATAATGATCTCAACTTGTGTCTTATTTTTACTCCAGGTACTGCTGATATTTCACCGGTCATTATGGCTAGAGTAGCACCAAGTTCTATGAAGGACATTTAGTTTCAGTTTCATCTTTCATCAGTTCTAGATATCAAAATCATTCCCAAAATGTACAATTCACAACAAGATCATTCTCTCAACTACCATAAAACGTCAAATATCACTGTTTGCGCCCATAAAAGGCGACAAAAGCACTTTGCCACCATATTACTCAAAGTATTCCTACAAAGGTGGGAGTAATGGGGGAAATTTATGACATTGTCTTAATTGAAAGACAGACATTAACAGATTTTAATGGGAGGAAATCTATACACAGGAGATTATTTTCCAGGCGATTGCTTGTGTAGAGATATTAAGTTTTTATTATGACAAGTAATGGAAGCTTATACAAAGATTTAGACAATCTTCAAGCCTATCGATGAATAAAACATGTTGTATTTCTTGATTGGTATTTTAGCGCTTTTATCGCATCCAATAAGCCGAGTTATTGTTTTTCCTCCACACTTGTGGAAGCTTTTAAGCTGCTTTTATGGTTTGTCTTTGCCAATTCTTGAAGCACTTTAGAGGTTTCACTTCCAGTATGGCGTTTGTGCATTAAAAAATCTAATGACACTAGCAAATGTGTTTTGTGGTACAGGTAGGAGGAGGAATTGACAAACATTATAATTTGACATATGATTAAACTGCACCTTAAATTCAAGGATACTGACAAGTATACACAACGCTTGAAGATGAATTCATTTTTAGTTTTCATACAAATCGAGACCATTCATATCTATTTCTTGAATGTAAAAGGTGATTGTTCTGATAACAGCATGATTTTCTCATTCAGCTGTGTAAACTTATATTCATTAGATTTACCGTTAATTTCTCAGAAAGACACCGTACCCAAACTAAACCAAATGACCCTGAATAACTGGAGCGTGATAGAGTGTCTCTACTAATGTGATATTTGTGGCTGATTCGTGACAATTCACACCATCTACGTATTTAGATAGCCTTCAAGGTACTATTTCTCATGTTAAGGGCTATGACATGATACTAATCCAAAATAGGGACAGGAGAAAGAGTAACAGTCACTGCTCAATTTGGGCACCATTTATGCTGTAGTATAACATTAGGTTTGCTGGATAGAATATCTGATGGAAAATAATCATGATTTGTAACATAAACAATCATTTGCAATATCTGTATTTTCTATATGAATAGGTAAATCTTTTCCACATTTTGATAACATACCTATTTCCCCTTTACCATTTACATACATGGCATCTTGTTGGGCAATTTTTACAGACCAGAAAAATATCCACTGCCAACATATTGAAGAAATTCTTAAACAATTCAGCCAATTGGACATTATTTTCCTTGATAGACCAATGGCCTCCATCTTCAAATGCAATATGGAATTAACAAAGGATTTTTATGGTACTGCTAGAGCTTCAGGGGGGGGGGGGGTGTTTCGCAAAGATCCTCAGTTGAACTTTTCTCTAAGTTGAACTTAACAATTATGGAAAGCTGTTAGCATCTTTTGAAACATTTTGTAAAAGTCATTTTAAAGAAATAAAATGTTGATTCAAATTAGTCTATTATCGAGGAGATCTCATGTTCTCAATGTGGAATTTACAAAAAGTCTAAAATACTTTAGAATCTAATATATTTTATTTTAAGGCTAGAAAAGGCTCTCCATAACTTTTTAAGTCCAACTTACAGTTAAGTTTGACTTAGGGTCTTTGTGAAACACCCCCCCCCCCAAGTCTCTCTCCCAACAAACATGGAGCTCCTTGAATGAAGTCATTAAAGATTCCCTGTAGGACATCACCTTCGAAGTCCAGCTGGTTGAACAAGAATACTACATCAATCTTGATCAGTCTTAACACAAACCCCAAAGCGGTTCTGCAACAAGTAACACTTATAGGCTTTCTACCGATCAGCTTGAATTTCCTTGCTTAAAGTTCTTGGTGATTACCTGGACAACATCGGCCTTTAAGTACAGTGTTTGAACA